CTTGTCTGTACTGTGAAGATGTTAATGGAAAGGGAGAGATAGTCCAGTGGTTCATGTGCGTGTTCATGGGTGGGCTGAGTCCAGGATTGATTCCAAACTTGTGTACAAGTTTGTTTTTGTTGATTGCAAAATAAATAAGACTGTTAGTAATTCTATCCATCCACTGATTGTCTCCCTCACGTAAACAATCATTCCCTCACTCCCTTGCTCACTCACTCACGTACACAAAAATCATTCCCTCCCTCACTCCCTTACTCGCTGTCTCACCCACTTACTCATTCATGTATTCACTCTCACTCACCCAAACTCACTCACCTACCTACTGAATCCACCCCTTTCTAACTATATTCTATCTCTTCTTGACCAGAATCTACCCACTCACTCTCTCACTCACCCAAACTCACTCACTCACCTACCTACTGAATCTACCTCTTTCTGACTATATTCTATCTCTTCTTGACCAGAATCTACCCACTCACTCTCTCACTCACCCAAACTCACTCACTCACCTACCTACTGAATCCACCCCTTTCTAACTATATTCTATCTCTTCTTGACCAGAATCTACCCACTCACTCTCTCACTCACCCAAACTCACTCACTCACCTACCTACTGAATCTACCCCTTTCTGACTATATTCTATCTCTTCTTGACCAGAATCTACCCACTCACTCTCTCACTCACCCAAACCCACTCACTCACCCAACAACCCAACCACCCACCAACCCCCTCACTCACTCATTCCTTTACTTACACACTCACCCACTCACTCACTTGCCCACTCACTCACTCATTCCCTTACTCATACATGCTCCAACCCAACCAACCACCCAACCCAACCACCCACTCACTCATTCCCTTACTTACACACGCTCCCACCCACTCACCCACTCACTCACTCACTCACTCACTCACTGATTGTTATGAGGAAGCTTATTTCAACAGTTTAAGCAGAATCTGTCACATGGTAAATAACATTGTCATGTGAAGTGCTGTTCTATTTCCCTCAGTGAAGCCCTTGTCTGATAGCTTTTCCCTGGAGAGATGAACAAAGAGTAGACTCAAATAAAAGTTCCTTACAAGTTGCCAATTCTTTTTTAGCTCGTCGACCTTTTTTTTTAATTTGATTCTGAAAGTGTGATCCTTTGAAGATTCCCCATGGGTCAGGCAGTGCTGTGATGTTTGTGATGAAGGGCTTTGGTAGTCTATTTTTCTCTGGTATTGTAGAAACAAATAAAATAATCGCTCACATTTCAAATGACATTAAGTGGGAGATTTTAAGAATCTACTTCTTCCTCATGAAAATATATCTGCCCATGGGGATATTTTGCAAGTGGCCAGTAGAATTTAATCCTCCCTTGCCTGGGACCATCTATCTCAGGGTTATCATCTTGGAAATCATGACAATCTACCCATTTCGAATCCTGATCTACCCCTTCCTGACCAGTATCTGCCCCATCCTGACCAGTATCTGCCACTTCCTGACCAGTATCTGCCCCTTCCTGACCAGTATCTGCCCCTTCCAGACCAGTATCTGCCCCTTCCTGACTAGTATCTGCCCCTTCCTGCCCTTCCTGACCAGTGTCTGCCCCTTCCTGACCAGTATCTGCCCCTTCCTGCCCTTCTTGACCAGTATCTGCCCCTTCCTGCCCTTCCTGACCTGTATCTGCCCCTTCCTGACCAGTATCTGCCCCTTCCTGACCAGTATCTGCCCCTTCCTGCCCTTCTTGACCAGGATCTGCCCCTTCCTGCCCTTCCTGACCAGTATCTGCCCCTTCCTGACCAGTATCTGCCCCTTCCTGACCAGTATCTGCCCCTTCCTGACCAGTATCTGCCCCTTCCTGCCCTTCCTGACCTGTATCTGCCCCTTCCTGACCAGTATCTGCCCCTTCCTGACCAGTATCTGCCCCTTCCTGACCAGTATCTGCCCCTTCCTGACCAGTATCTGCCCCTTCCTGACTAGTATCTGCCCCTTCCTGCCCTTCCTGACCAGTATCTGCCCCTTCCTGACCAGTATCTGCCCCTTCCTGCCCTTCTTGACCAGTATCTGCCCCTTCCTGCCCTTCCTGACCAGTATCTGCCCCTTCCTGACCAGTATCTGCCCCTTCCTGACCAGTATCTGCCCCTTCCTGACCAGTATCTGCCCCTTCCTGCCCTTCCTGACCTGTATCTGCCCCTTCCTGACCAGTATCTGCCCCTTCCTGACCAGTATCTGCCCCTTCCTGCCCTTCCTGACCAGTATCTGCCCCTTCCTGACCAGTATCTGTCTCTTCCAGATGAGAAAGTATCCCTACCTGACCAGTTTCTACTCATTCCTGACGAGAATCTATCCCTACCGGACCAGTTTCTGCCACTTCCTGATGAGAATCTATCCCTACCTGACCAGTTTCTTCCCCTTCCTGACGAGAATCTATCCGTATCTGACCAGTTTCTACCATTTCCAGACGAGAATCTACCCCTTTCTGAACAATACCTACCCCTTCCTTACGAGAATCTATCCCTTCCTGACCAGCAGTGTATCTTTTATCAAACACATATGCTGGTTGGTGAATATTCTTAGCTGAGACAAGCAAGAAGAAGTCCTAGTTTGGGTTGTTGGGATCCCTGCACGCCGGGCTGTTTATCAGCACTGTCCATGTATATGCTTGAATGGATCCATTTGCCACAAATGATTCTGATTCCCTTGTGGGTACACTATGGGAAGCTAATTCTCGATGACCCTGCCATGATACTGCGACAAAGGAGCCTAAATTCTCGCTCTCTGCTCAATAGCCTATTCATTACAAATCTGTTGTGTTCAAACACTTGCAGATGCATTCAGAAGTGTCTATCCATGGATGGAATTCGGTGGGCCATGTTCAATTATTGCTATGGTATACAAGGTTTAATACATAAGATCTATGTAATATATTGCTATGGCATACAAGGTTTAATACATGAGATCTATGTAATATATTGCTATGGTAAACAAGGTTTAACACATAAGATCTATATAATATATTGCTATGGTATACAAGGTTTAATACATAAGATCTATATAATATATTGCTATGGCATACAAGGTTTAATACATAAGATCTATATAATATATTGCTATCGCATACAAGGTTTAATACATAAGATCTATATAATATATTGCTATGTCATACAAGGTTTAATACATAAGATCTATATAATATATTGCTATGGTATACAAGGTTTAATACATAAGATCTATATAATGTATTGCTATGGTATACAAGGTTTAATACATAAAAACTATATAATATATTGCTATGGTATACAAGGTTTAATACATAAGATCTATATGATATATTGCTATGGTATACAAGGTTTGATACATAAGATCTATATAATATATTGCTATGGTATATAAGGTTTAATACATAAGATCTATATGATATATTGCTATGGTATACAAGGTTTGATACATAAGATCTATATAATATATTGCTATGGTATATAAGGTTTAATACATAAGATCTATATAATATATTGCTATGGTATACAAGGTTTAATACATAAGATCTATATGATATATTGCTATGGTATACAAGGTTTGATACATAAGATCTATGCAATATTTGAAGCCAATACAGCAGAAGGACTATTCCTGACAACTTGTTGGTGGAGGGCCTGGGTGCTGCCTCCCATGCCAGAATGTAAATAGATCAATGCATACATGAAGGCGTTCACGTTGTGGCAGCTAATGTGTTAACGATGATACCCTCACGCAGCCCCTGTCCTGGCAGGTGATTAGATATCCGACTACTGCCACAAGCCCCTAGCTACAGTCATGTATTGATCTGGGATGTAATAAGCCATATTCATGTACATAGATCCATTTTAATTGCCATCCACACCTATGGACCACCGAGTTACATGTTCATATTTGGGTTAAGGACATTTAATATTCTTGGGGGATTGAGACTTTTCAGTCAGTGCTTCAAATCATACAATTATTTTGTTTTGAGTGACATTGCATTAGATTTCACAACATGTCCAGTGTATGATTTATTTGTGAGGGTAAAACATAAGGACAAATACTTTTAAGCAAAAAATCCCAGTTTTCCCCCACCACAGAATATCAAATGGTCGTTCCCTTAAGGCTACGCAAATAGGGAGCATTTGATAAAGTTTGTGTCAAAGTCAATTTGGGATTTATTTGGCATGACCTGTGGACCATTGATTTACGCATATTTTGGCTAAGGCTACACAAATAGGGAACATTAGATAAAGTTTGGGTTGCGACATCTTGTCAATGGATTTTGTTGAATGATGTGTAAGTGAATTTAGGGAATTTGTGAGGAAGAAGTCACTTTTTGCACATTTGGGTTAAGGAGACATTTATGGCTTTTGATGGGATTTGTGAGCTGCAACTAAGTGGCCTGCCAGTATCCAATGCTGAATCGGTGTCATTGTCTTTTGATCCAACCACACGTATAGAAATACAAATGGATGACGTTTCCAGATTTGGAAACAGGGTTTTAAATAAGTAATGTTTCATATCGAAAAACAAATCTAACACATGATCCTGTTTGAAGATATCATATATTACTCCAAAGAACAATGCCAACAGTTGTCAGCTAAAACTAGATTACTAAGTCATTAAATCTAACCACAGACAGAAATACAAATGGATGAGGTTTCCAGATTTGAAAACAAGGTTCCAGCAGGATAATGTTTCATATAAGAAAAACAAATCATTAAAATCCTATTTGAAGATATCATCTGTTATACCAAAGAGCAATCGAAACAGAGTTACAAGGTAGACACAATTTTATGGATAACAAGCAGCGAAAGGTGAACGAATGGAGGCATTCCTCTTCAAAAGCGTATATGACTAAGTGCCTCTGAGCATTTTTCTGGATTTAGATGTATCAATGCCTAATTTCTTCTTCAACTACTCATGATGGTGTGCATTCCATGTAAGCCCATTTAGTCATCATTGCATATTCTTTTTCTGTCAGTTGTATGGAATAATCTTTGTTCTTTTCAGTGGAGAAAAGAAAAATGTTCGTCCAGGTGCTCCATCAGAGCCAAATGAATACAACTTCAACTACAAACGTCGAGGCCTGTTCCTAATTATCAACAACAAGAACTTCCACCCCAACACTGGCCAGCAGACAAGGGAGGGAACTGATGTGGATGCCGAGAGACTAGAGGAACGCTTCCAAGATTTAGGTTTTGAGGTCAAGAGGTATGATGACGTCAACAGATCAAGAATTTCGACTCTAATGTATGATGGTGAGTGTTGAATCTTTGAATCTTGTGTTAAGCATATTCTTGTTGATTAATCAGATGACTGATGGACATGAATCATTGTTTGGGCTTTTACTGCAATATATCCTAATTTACCGGATGGCAGGAGCGTGTCAATCGGCTTAATGTAATGCCAGATAATAGGATCAGAAAACAAATTACATTACACAGAGGATTAAAAAAAAGTGGAAGGTACACTTTAATGAAATATCTTCTGATTTGTCCATTTAAACTTCGAAATCAGAGTTATTTTGATTTAAGATTCATTGTTTAAGTCAGTCTTATTTCAGAATACATGTCTTTGTTTAGGTGTTGGAACCTGAAGATTTTTCTGTTTGAGACAATTTATTGACAAGATCCTTGTTTATTGATACTTTGCATTGAAAATCGTATCAGAAACTATCAATTGTGTCACTTTGGAATTTCCTTAAGACAAAAAGTGGCTGGAGCAGTGAATGCCATGAGCATTTGCATTACCATTTCCACAAAAAAACTGAAACAAATGAACAACCAAGAACATTTATTCAACTTTAAATCTTAAATATCAGGCAAATCCCTCATTAAAAAGACCAATTTTCACTGACTTCATTTATCTATGCAGCTCTTGCGTTTTACTGCTTCTTAATACAAATAACAGGTACCATTTACCATACAACTACCATTCACCCAGCCATGTATAAGCCATGTCTCAGTGAGAAGGGAGATAAATCTTTGTCCATCCTGACCTAATTGAGACTTTGCATTTTCCTGCCATGATTGGGTTCATTTATTGATGGTGATGCCTGAGTCTATCTCAGGATTCTGCACAGAGTAGTGTTCTTCCTTCAGGCCTACAGCATGAGATCACTCCATAGGGTTATGTGTTCTGGTAAATCTGTGTTACTAAACAGTGACACTTTCTAGAGTAGTTGTCGAAGACATGATTCACAATGAAACACGTTTATACGCTTCGTATGTTTGTGATTTTTGTGATATGTGAAGAATTTTAACAGACTCAGAAACAAAAATATACCTTATCCCATGATTATATATCATGAAGTTTTACTGACAACGCCATGATCTTAACTTGCCAAACTTGACTACCTTGCAGTGTCACATTCAATAGTGCACTGTTCAGGACATTTCAGATGTGGACCACCTTTGTGGTCTCGTGGATAGAGTGTCTGACTGGAATAGAGGTCGATGGTTCATCACACTATGTCTGAGTGGGGTTTCCATGTTAAACCCCTCGATCCTCTGCCACTTCATGTCGGAAGATGTTTAAAGATGGTACTTGTTGTTACCCTGCCTAGCATTGAGCATTAAGGGGATAAAACAAGGACCTGTGAGCTCAGAGTCATCACACTATGTCTGAGTGGGGTAATTGTGTTAATAATCAGTGGTTGTCATGCTGTTCTAGTGTTTTGTAATGCAATTTGAACTTAGTAGATACAATTTATGGATTAAAACTTCTTTAATTATTGTATAAGCGACGTTTCGGTATAGATCCTTAAATTGTTGTTAAGCAAGACTGTTTTGCTTGACAATGGTATAAGGATCTATAGCGAAATGTCACCTTTACAGTAATACCAAAGAAGTTGTTATCCATAAATTGTATCTACTTTGTCATCCGTCAACTTCTAAGTAATGCATATCAAACAATTCAATTTGAACTTACACTTTCTCTCAGGACCTACTTTCAAACCATTCAGAAAAGTATGTATGTGGCTTTATTTGTAAAAAGCACTTCAACTTTGTGTTTTTTATTTGGCACAGGACCAGAAGCAGGTGCTTGCTGGCACAAGATTCTATTTAAATCTGATAGAATAAGTGGTTACCACAACAGAGTACTTAATAATCATTACTTTCTTGTTCAATCAGACTTGTTTGTGTGTGGAAGGGAACAATAATGATCTTAAAGAAATATTTATGTCCTGTGAAGTATCCTTACAATAAAACAAACTATGTATATGGTTTAGGTATAAACACCTAAAGTAATATCTAGTTATTATTTTTTTCTGATTTACGTTTCAATGGTTTTGATGAAAACGTAAATTGAGTATAAAGAGACCTTATGGTTATATAAATATTTCTGAAAACCCAGCTCAATGCGGGACTATTTGTCTGACATGATTGCATTTTGCTCAGGCTGTTACAGCATTAGCTTCAAAGCAATGACATTGATCCTTCATCAGGCCAAAATTGCATTGTCAGTCAACTAAGAATTGTTATGAGAATTTGTCCTGACGTTGTTTGTACTGTTTGCTCACTTCAAAGAGTAGCAAACGTTAACTGAAGATATTATTTCCAGTAGGCAGCTGTTATAGTATCATATATTTGTGGTAATTATCCTGACTGGATGTGACAGTCCATAATTACACAAATAGCCCACTTCTACGTGCAGAGGAGCTGAACTAATGCCACACAAGCAGAGTGTTTTAAGATAGTGGCGTTAATGTGTGAAGGGCTTTTGCATTTACGTAAAAACATGGTGAGGACTTGTAGGCCCGGCTATTCATTAGTTCCTCGGAGGTGTTTCAGATGGGGGGAAACAAGGGAGGCAGGAGTAATGTCATCAGGAAATCTGAAGGGTATTGCTGACTGGAGCAATATGCCAACACTCTCTTTGTTTGGTTATGAAGGATGTGGACTGTTTCAACTATAATATTAATGTTGGTATAGATAAGGGGTGACCATTTAATGTACTTAAGAATTGACCTTCACTTTGTGTGAGTTCATTGGAGTATGAACCTTCATAGAGTGAGGGCCAAACTGTATGAACGTCAGAGCTTGCGACGACGTTCATACAATGTTTGGCCCTCACTCTATGAAGGTTCATACTCCAATGAACTCACACATAGTGAAAGTCAATTCTTCTAATTTTTTATCACAATTTCTTACATCAAAGGGTGTAGGCCAAGATCTAAACACAATTTTATTTAGTATGTGTGACTTCATGTTTACATTGACAGCCATACAACAACCAACTATGTCGCGGAGTAAAATACTTCCTCAAAAAGAGAGGTGACATGGGCACATGGATGCACAACTTGCTCTTCAGAAACATCTTAGGCAGCACATGTGTTCAAATCATATCCTCATTAGATGAGAAAGGTCTGTAAAGAACTACCTCAGTACGTCAGTCACAATGACGGCGCGTCGTAATACATTTACATTAAGTACAAGACGTCAAAATGGCCGACACGATAAACGTGACGGGAGAGATTTACGAAGTTGTTAATGAACCTGTGGCGGTTACATGTGTTAGTCATCATTGATCAACTGGCCAATCATTGAAAGGTGAATAAAGATGTGTCAAACAGACACAAAGGTAAATTCATAGATTGCTGGAGACGGTCAATGTCAGCCTAGGCACGGATCGAGTCAATACTACGATAGTTTAGATGTGCATTTCTTCGTTTGTTCATTAGGATGGGCCGTAGCAAGGATATTCGTGAACAATCATGCAGTCACCCTCTCTGACATTTCTCAATGTATACTGAAACGCAGAGACCAAGAATAAAGGTTCTAAATGATCAGTGAGTGAGTGAGTGAGTGAGTGAGTTGGGTTTAACGCCGCTTTTAACATTACTCCAGTTATATCGCGGCGTGTCAGCTTAATGTGGGAGGAAAGCCCAAAGTGATGCAGGTCTTAGACGTTTACCACTTCGGTTGACAAACCTAGAAACATAATCGGGGCGAACCGGGATTCGAACCCACAATCATAGGTTTCTGGTGTGTCCACACTTATGAACGTCAATTTCGAGGTCATGTGACTGACCTCTCATCCAATGGAAAAGCCGTATATCGTGTAAACTTCAAATTAAAAATGTTTTTTGGGATGAGGCATGCTTTTATATTTTTTTAATAATTTGTTCCAGAAACAAATAGAAAAAAGTGGTTTGTCCTCAGGTGTTTAGCCCCCCCAAATTGTATTGTTCGTGGGGAAAGCTGGATGTCCTGAAAAAAATCTGTTGTGAATTTGTATAAGTTGTATGGCTCCCATTTTCACAGATGCAAACTGAATGTTCTGAGTGAGTGAATGAGTGAGTGAGTGGGTTGGGTTTAACGCTGCTTTCAACAGTATTCCAGTTATATCAGACAGCTTGATGAGGGAGGAAAGCAAGAAGTGATGCAGGTCCCAAACGTTTACCACTTTGGTGAAACCCACCAGCACAGGTATGGTGCTGACAAACCTAGAAACATAATCGGGGCAAACCAGGATTCGATCCCACAATCATAGGTTTCTGGCATGCCCAAGGGATGCAACACTGCAAATTGAAGTGCAGCGCTTTAGACGACAGTTTTCTGAATGATGCAGTCTCCCCTGTTACAAACACTTGCGACCTGGAAGAATAAGTCTTCAGCAACCCATTCTTGCCGTAACAGGCAACTAACGGAATCGGGTGGTCAGGCTTGCTGACTTTATTGATGCATGTCATCTTATCCCAGTTGTGTAGATTGATGCTCATGATGTCAATCACTATATTGTTTGGTCCTGACTCGATTATGTACAGACCACCCTCATATAGCTGGCATATTGCAGAGTGCTGCGTTAAATGACAAACAAAGAAACAAACAAGCATACACGAACACTTTCTGGGAATATTATGACGACCTTGTACGACCTTGTATCATCCAGTAGTTCCTGATCGTCTTTTACACTTGGTGCTTCTACTGATTGTATACCCCTAAGACATTCTGTCTGTTGACCTAATAGCATTATGTTGGCCTTTGTGATATGAAAAAATGGAAATGTACAATTGACAGGAAATAATGGGCTTGTCTGGACATGACCAATGTAGTGAAGCCTTATGCTGTAGGGTGGGATCAAGCATGGCGGCAGGCCAGATTTAAGGATCATCCCTGTTAATCTAATGCTTTGCTATTGTTACACATGCACAACAGTTCTAGTTGGCTCCACTGACTTAGGGCGTTATCCTAGTGAGAATTATTTTGCAAACTTTCATTACAATGACTGAAGGAAGACATATTTATTTCCAAGA